TTCTCCCTGGTCCTCAATACAAAGCACTCTAACAAAGGACCATAATTTTCTGGCCAGAGAAAAGCAAGAAAAGCTGCTACTACCAGCATGCCAGGGCACAACAAAGTTAGCAGTTTATGTATTAAGTCAAAATGATGCTAACTTATTTTAAAAAGCTGGAATTCTAAAAGAAATTGTCCCTGGATCCTTAGAATTTCTAATAGAAAGGCATTCTCCTAACATATTCTAGGATAAAAGTCACACTATTATTTGATCTTTCCTCTTAGTAGTGACTTATCACAAACTAAACTGAATAAAATTTCCATCAAAAGTTAGCTCAAATTTTCTTCCAGTCATTTTCACTTCTTAAACCTGACATCTGTAATAAAGAAAAGCATGTCAAAGAGGTCTGTCTGCTATGGGGCTTAAAGGACATAGAGACAGGGACTTCACAGACAACAAAGAACCAGGCTATTGTTGCATTTATCTTAGAGGAGTTCTGATCATGTGATGAGCATCTCCGATATTCATTCTTGCCAAATTAATATTCTACATTCTCCCTAGTGGAGCCACACAGGGAGAGAATTTCTTTCTTCTCTTTTCTTGTTCCCTCCCTTTGATGATATTAGGTGGTCAGGGAGAAAAAGAAGAGGAGGCTCTCAGACATCCCACATAGCGTGTCCAACAGACACTCTCAGTAGGGGTGCTTCTTGTTCCTACAGCAAGTAAAAGTAATATGTGCATCAGAAAGTAATGCATAGAATATTCAAAGTCAATAGAAATCGGATATTTAAATAAAATTTGCGTGTGTTCAATTTGGAGATTCTTATTTTCACTTCCCACTTGTTTATATTATACTCATAGCTGGTGATATTTTTTCTAAGTCATGAGGTTTCCTATTCTTTCTACTGCAGCCTACTAATAATGACATGTTCAACACTCAACCTGCCCTTTCTTGGTCTTAAAGCAAAGTCTTGGAAAATGTTCTTAGCTAAGGGGATGTCAGAATGATGGTGAAATGACAGCGCACTGAAGAACATAAGAAACTCGGAGGAAAATTTAAACCTTAAAAGTTTATGAATTGAAAAGTTCAAAACATTATCTCATATGCTATCTGATATATATTGAGCTAACTAAAGTTTACTTAGGACCTATTGATATTTTCCATCTCTGGTATTTATCAGTTCATAGCTAGAGGAAAGTAAAATTTATGTGAGATGGGTTTATCTCCCAAGCATACTCTTCAAGTGATGACCTCACACAAGCGAGGATCTGGAAGCAGTTTCACCACCCCAGGGTTCAGGCAGGAGCATGTCAGGGCTCTTTGCTGGAATTGCACTGGGGTTTCACACCTATGCCTTTGCCTTATTCTGTTTTCTGTATAACTCAGAGTGAGCAACTTTCCTGTCTCTGAGTATTGTTTTCTTAATCTGTGCATTGCGCATCTGGGATTGGTCTGAGGAATGAGACTGTGTCTTTAACTGTTTGTTGTTCGTATACATAGTAGTTTCCCATACATCTTAGCTACTTTGGAGATCACAAACAGAGCTGGATGTGCAATACAAATAAATACTAATGGGGGAGCTGAATTCTCCCATCTGGCAGGGGAGAATGGCAAGGGGCAAGAAAAAGGAAACAATTTAACTGCTTCTAAGTCATGAGAGATGGATGGAGGCCAAACCTCTTTAGGAATGTGATTCTTGTTGATGACCTGGGACATAGCATAGATGTCGGGACAGATGATGTTAGCAGCCTGTGGAACACATACCATTTCTGACTCAACTGACGGAGTTTGCCAAGTCTTGGTTACTGAGCTTGGATTATTTTTATTTTTACTAAAAATAAACATGCAGAAATTCTATGATATTATGTAGCGATCATGATGATGATGATGATGATGATGATGATGATGATGATGATGATGACGATGATGATGACAGAACTGTTGAGTCTCTTTCATGCATTGCTCCTTGGTCAGATTCATTTCTCACACTTGAGAATTGTGGGTTTGTCTTTGTCTGCGGACAATGCCAAAACCGTGAGAACTCATAGGGGATGAGAATAGAAGACTTCTGTATTACACGGGCTTTTACGACTGCTTGAATACTTCTTTTCTACTTACAGTGGAGAAAATATCTCTACTGACTTCACACCCAAAAGTGCTCTATGAACATCTTTAGGCAATGAGGGGTGGGGGCAGATGCCATTATTGGCTAACTACAAGCCAAGTGACAAAACTAGGTGTATTCTGAACCTGAAAGAAAACCCTATCAGATCTGACCTTGCTCAGCCTAGACATACTACCTGCACATTTTTTCCAGTAGTTAGATAATAACAAATCTCTTTTTCTCAGCATAGTCTATGCTAGAAGCAAGTTCAAAACCCCTAAAGGCTTTGTTTTATTTTTATGAACTGCTTAACAATTGCTCAAAAATTTTAATGAATTGTAAATGTGGTCAGTGAGATAATGCATAAAGATAAGTAATTGCAAACAATGTAAACTCTGTGAAGAAACAAGGGAAGCATAACCGAAATACATGAAAAGTTCAGAGGCTAAAGAGAGTCCTATCTTCTAGAGACAAAAGATGCTGTGGACAGCAGGTCTGAGGGCAATGGTTGCTGAAATGTATAATTCTTTCGGGCAAGTAGTGGGTTGCATGGTTGACCGGAGAAGAGAGGAAAAGAAACTAATGGAACAAAGGAGGTGAATCTATTCTAAGACAGACCAGGCCTTACTAATGGAAAAAGCTAAAAAATTATAATACATGCACAGTTAGGCTCATTTTAGAAAACTAGAATCAATAAGTGTGTCACTTGAAATCTCAGAGGTGAATGGCAGCAGAAGTGGGAACTCAAGACTTCTGACTGCAGTCTTGGTTTACTGTTTCACAGAAGTGAAATGTTTCTGGGGGGGGGGGGTGCCTGGGAAATTGCTGGTTTGTTCTTGATGAAGAAAACAGCTTCTGATATTTATATGTAATAGATAAGAGTATGTTGGCTGACAATATTGTTTTCTGAAATTAGTATAAATCTTCATAAAATGCCAGTGTTGCTAATTTGGTACAATTACATAAGACAGACTATAGCATTTTAGAGTCCCAAATTCCACTGTCTTCGAGGCTGCAAAAAGAGCGGTCCATCTCTCCTCACTCAGGACACAATGAAAATCCAGAAATGAAATGAAACAACTCTATGATGTGATGAAACAGAATGTGGGATTTACCACATAGAATGAAGTCCTTATGATTGTCCTGGCAGAAATAAATTCATTTAATTAGATATGTGCTGGCGAATGCATGCAACTAGAGAGGATGAAAGCTTCCAACCTGGAAAAACAGGAAGTTCTGTGTTCCAATGGTGGATTGTGCCTCTGAAGGCAATTCAAATCTCCGACGACTTTCAAATATTTTCAACCATGTCAGACTGGCTTGATTTCCCATTAAAATATTCATGTAAATGATGCTTTAACTTGCACATGCTAGACATATCACAAAAAATGCTGAGTCAAAATGAAACAGCTGTTCCTTCCTTAATGTGTGAGAGAGATGATAGGCCAGGCCTGTTCTGAAAAGGGTAGATCTGAGAAAGGAGTTCCAAGAAACAAAATTTCAGTTAGAACCCAACTTTTAACATTCACCCTGGAAAGGAAACTGCTGCATCACAAAATAACTCCTAGAGTGAACCCTTTTCCCAAGATTTTTCCACTTTCATCATTTTAAAACTTCTCTGGGTAGCATATATATTTGTGTCAAATCAAGTGCAATCAGCGATTTAGAGAACTGGGTAGTAATTTGTCTTCTTTCTGTCAAAGAATCTTGCTTCAAAATCTCACAGGAATACATGCTTAGTTACAAACAGGATTTGAATGCATGTTTAGTTGGCATGTTCTCTGTATTTAGAGCCCCAAGGGACTGAGAGTAACATTTTCACACAAGCTGAATACAGGACACTTAGTAAGTCTCCAGTCCTTAGGTTGATGGAAGGGAGTACCATGCAACATGCACAGGCCACCTCCCAGAAAAGCAAATCAGGGTCAGCACCAAAGCCGACAAAAAAGCAGCGATGTTGGCCTTTCCACAAGCCATTCCAAAGTCTCACATGCCTATTGCACAGCAGCTGTTTGAGGGCATCACTTTCTATTCCTGTGATTAAGGGAGCCAACCTGGTTGAGCTGAAATGTTGAAAAATTTGAATTCTCACCCTTTTTCCTTTTCAATTCCCTTAATCATTCCCCAACTAAACGAAGGAAGAAGAAAGAGTGCTTTTGTCCCTCATCGTGTTTTTGGTTTTTACTATTGCTATTATGTCATTAAAGCTAGAAGCTGATTGGATAATAAAGAAAGAATTATGATTGCAGTTTCATCCCCTGGCCACCACATACAATTAGTTGCAGAGCTCCTTCAGTTCTTGGCATTGCTAGCTCTCCCCCAGATTAGAGAGTTAAAAGCTTGAGAAAGGTCAATCCCCATGAGGCAGTAGCCTCCAACATAGTCCTCAGCACTGAGCAGCATGGTGCCTTTAAGCTTTGGATTTCTCCTGCACTTTTACACTAACACACTAGTGAAATAGGGAATGTGCTCTCAGGGACATGGGTGGGAGCAACCAAACGATCACAAGAAGTGATTCTCGTGCCGTTTCTTAAGGAAAACGTGTTTGAGTGCGTTTGCTCTGTGAGTTCCCCGCTGTGGGATGGCATTGTTTAAAATCAGACACCACCAGCTTCGTGGGACTGAAATGTTTTGTATGTGTTGTTGTTTGCAGTGCATGCCAAGACATTCATGAGCACCAGAGCCAAGCTGGCGAGCTAATTAAATATATATGTGTATGTGTTTAAAACAGCCTAATAAGGAGCATTGGAAATCTTCAAGATGAGCGAATATCTTATAACTTCTTCCGCAGGTGCGAGGATAGCTACAAGCCATGGACTTTCTGTCCTGCTTCTTGTTTGTGGCTTTGTGAAGGGTGCTTTGCTTTAATCTAAAGTGCTGACTTTTTTCCAATATCACTTTCTCTTCTTAAAGCAAAGAGCAAATCGCCTGTAAAATCTACGGAGCGGACAGCAAAGTTGACCCTAAACTCCAAGCACCATTCTGCACCCCTGTACTCTAGTTACCTACACAAGGAACATCAGCTTCCGGAAGCATAAGTGAAGAGGCTATTACACGCTTTATTGATAGTATTTTCTTTGGGAAGTCGCTGATCTTTTATTTGAAGAGAATTAATGCGAAGCGATAGGACATTTTCTAATAACAAGATCTGGTTTTTTGTTTTGTTTTGTTTTCTTTCAACAAATAAAATCTACATTTCACTAACTGCTCAGGAGTTGGCCTGAAAGTCATCAGTATAGTAGATATTTCCATGGATTCCACCAATTTCCTACTAAGGAACACCTAATCCGAATGAAGCAAACAAAGATAGGAAGCCTAAGACATGCAAACTATCTTCAAGCAGCACCCCAGCTGAGGAAACAAAAAAAAAACAAAATGCTGGACACTACGGATCAACAGCACGCAACTTTATTTTACATAAGGAAGAATCAGAGCAATTTTTTTTTCGAAAAAAAAAAAAAACAACTTCTTTTTCCCCCGTGGAATTTTTCTTGGAGTTTCCCTTCTTTTCCTTGATTGCCGTTCTTGTTCTGTGGTAGAAGTGCCAATTATGGCCAATCCTAGTCAATCCTGGGAGGTTTATATTCATACATATTGAGTGTGCTATATTTCAATGTATTTTAATTCATTTTGCAATTTCTGTATATGCAAACCTGGCAAATTCTGTAAATTGCTTCTAGTATGTGTGATATGACTTCAAGGTAGATAGATACGACCCTCATGCAAGCTGACTTTCTTCATTCTATATGCAAATATATCCATGAGCATATATTAGGCCACGAGCTTCTTTTCCTAAAGCATTATTTTTCTTTTACAACTCACGTATTGTGTGAATTCTGTAGTGTGTTTCTCTGTTCCACTGATTTGATAGCTACGGTTTGTCTCTGTTGTCCTCTGCTTCCTCCTGGAAAGTGCATATTTAAATTGTATATGTCTCTGATAAATGAATTAATTTTGTTGAGTGTGTACCATGTTGGAATTTGCTGCGTTCTTTTATATGTGTGTTTATTGAGGTTTGGGGATCTCGAGTCCGAAGAATGCACATCCTGGTTTTGACAGATCTCCTCATGTTATCAATATTCTGTCTCAGAAAAAGAATGAAGCCAAGTGGGAAAACTGGAGAAGATATTTTGACTCCTCAGGTTCCTGGAAGAGCATATCACACTCAGACTAAATAACGCTGCTTCCTTTGTTCTTCAAGAATTTTTTAGCTTTGTCATTCTGTTATTTGCTGCTAATTATATTTTAATGTCTACTAATTAAAATTTAAAATGTGATTGTTGGCTGAATAGAATATGCAAATGACTGCAAACCCCATACTAAAGAAGATAGGTGTTCAATCGTCACTCATTAATCATAGTTTTAAATATTCTATTGTTATTTTTGACTTTATTAATGTTGTTTAGACCCATTTTAAATTAATCTCTCTCTGGCAAAGAAAGATATAACAATTAATACAGTCCCTCTTACAAAATAGAATAGTTATGGTTTGAGAAAAAACACATCCAGATAGTCTTCCAGAGAGATTATTGTATTTCCTTTCAGTATAAATTCAGAACACCATCTGTGTAGGAATTTAAGGTTCGAAATTGAAGCTTGAAGGCCATGAATACCTTTGATTTTTTTTTTTTTTTTTAGGTAAAGGGCTGGACTCTGCCATTCTATAAGCAATGTGTATAATTTCATAACATTCTTGACATTCTCTTTTAAGAAGTATTGTTTTATGCTAAATCTTTCCTTGCCATTTTTTTGTTTCATTTGATTCATTTCATTTCATTCTAGTGAGAAAAATAAAGGTTTAATTGTGATACTTTATTAACACACAAATGTATTTTCTTTCGAAGTTAAATATCTGAAAGTTGTTTAGAATGATAGGTAAATATTTCCTGTTATAAAGTCTCTTTGAGTTTAAAGGATGCCATACATTAAAGCATATATTAATATTCTGATTTAAAGTCAACCATACTTGGAAAAACCATCATGTATTCTATTTTTACTCAATGTCCAATTAATGATATCAGCCAATTCTATGTAAGCCAAGCTTGTACTCATATCAGCAATGTTCATCATGCTTGTAATAAAAGAGCACATGCTAGTTTGGGAAGAATGCTCACTAGATTCATTGTATCAGTGTCCAAAATAATAAAGACCTGTGTATCACTGTGTGACCAAAGTCCAGCCAGCCCTCCACTTGCATAAAGGAAGATGGCATACTATCTGTTTGTTCTAAACTTAAAAAAGTATGGAACTTTAAACATTAGAGCAGAAAATGCAGCTGTTAATGAGACCTTGTAAACAGTTGTACACTACGTTATATTCATTTGGGACTATATTTTTTTTATGTAGCCATGATTATGGAAATGTATAGAAATGCAAAAGTATCTGGCTTTCTCAGCCTTGTCTCCAAGGTTAGATAGTATCTTTTATAAGACAGTTAGAAAAAGTTGAAATTGCTTACCTAAGTTTAAGCTAGAGCTTTTATTTCTTAAAGACTTATAGGCCGTTAACAAAACAAAGGAGGCAAATGAAAATCCTCCCGAACCAAATAGGATACTAGAATTCTCTAAAGCAGAAGCTGTAATCGGAGTTAGTAAGGAAGCTTCATGGAGAACCAGCCCCGTTGACAGGCAGCCCTGCATGCCCTTCAGCACCGCACTAGGGCAACTAACTATCCCTGCGGTGTTTATGCTGTATTAGGCATAGCAATTAGAGGTGATTTAACATGCAGCAGGAGGTGTTTATCATTGTCAAACGCTATGTCACTTTAGCTAAGAGACTCGAGTACCTACAATATTCTGATAGCCAATGACAGGCCTGTATAGCCATCTATCTACAGATGCTAGGGGGAGAGCTATATGTGGATGGTTTTTCTGATATTCATTTTATAGACATAGTCCTTGGCATGTATTACTTATAAAAAGTCATTTAGTCATGGTTTCCTCGCCTGAGACAGAAATACATAAATGATATTTGGGAGCCTAAGAAGTCCTCATTACTATGTGTTTGAAGTTATTTACCTTCAAGTTCTCAGAAACAAAATGTGTTCAAGTAAACATATTAGTACACACAGAGACACACATATTTGGCAAATAAAGTATATATTTTTTAAGCCTAGAAGACAATTTAAATTTATTATACATGGATGGAATAATAGGTATAGAATATCATTTGTTGACTTCTTACAAAAGATGCTAATAAAAAAAAGGAATAGTGAAACATTCCTGTAACCACAAGACTTAGCAGGTTTGAATAGGAAAATCATGAATTCAAGTCTAACCTGTCTACATAGTGAAACCCTGAATCAGTAAAAAAAATCAAAAATATATATATGGTTTAATTTTTTCAAAAATGCACATATATTTTTCCTGTATTAATCTTATATAAGAAATAAATATTAGCAGTCATATTAATTTGCATAAATAATAATCACAAGGTAAAAGCAATCTTTCTTGAGATAACATAAATCGATGATTGAATTGAGACTATGAAGCAAAAAGTCACAAGTCTTTTAAGTTTCAATTATTTATACCAAGCAGTTTTATATTTAAAATGGTTCATTAATAAAGGGAGTTCTCTGTCATTCAGGAAATGTCAGCCATGAAGTAGATAAGGCCTTTCCCTGTGTGAAGTGAGAGACAAGAGAAAAGCATTCAAAAGCCAGAAATTGTGCAATGCCGATACATTCTGTGAAGACCCAAGAGGAGGAGAATAAAGGAGAGTGACTAGGAAATCACGGGAGGTTACTCTGGCGGTGCAGTTGTGCAATGATAAGAAGCAGAGGATGTGGGAGAAGTATCTTCAGGGAGAGGGAACAGACCATGCCAACCTCCTGAAGCAAACATCAGGTATAGTTGTCCAAGGGTTAGTCTGTGAACACAGGCCGGCAGAGAAAGAAAGGCGGGGGGGGGGAACCTAAGGAGAGCCTGAGGCAGGATTTCACAAGGAATCTTCAGAGGGTACTGAGCCTAGGGGAACTAACCAAGTAGAGCTAGAGCTTACAAATCTCTCTCACTAAGAAGTGTGATTCTGCTCTCAAGAAACAGGCTTTTCCTGTCGTTCTAAAGCTTAGTCACAGTTTATCATGTTAACAACACTGAAGTTTCCAAATTGTTTGTATTTGTGTGAGAGAGAGAGAGTGTGTGTCTGTGTGTCTGTGTGTTTGGCTGTGGGTATGATTGTGTGTATGTGGCTGTGGGTGTGTGTATAGTTGTGTATGTATGTGTGTGTGTGGCTATGTGGGTATGGATGGCTGTGTGTGTGGCTGTGTGTGTTGCTATGTTTCTGTGTGTGTGTGGCTATGTGTATGGCTGTGTGTGTTTGGCTGTGTGTATGTGTGTGTGTGTGTGTGTGGCTGTGTGGTTGTGTGTGTGTGGCTGAGTGGCTGTATGTATGTGTGTGTGTGTGGCTATGTGGGTGTGTATGGCTGTGTGTGTGGCTGTGTGTATGTTGCTATGTTTGTGTGTGTGTATGTGGCTATGTGTATGGCTGTGTGTGTGACTGTGAGTGTGTGACTCTGTGTGTGTGTGTGTGTGTGTGTGTGTGTGTGTGTGTGTGGCTGAGTGTTCATGTGTGCCTGTTGAGGATAGAGAAGTATGCTCTCTGTGTCATGGTCTGTCATTCTCTACCTTATTCCCTTGAGACAGGGTCTCTCCCTGAACCTGGAACCCTGCAGGAAGAGAGCAAACCCCAGGAATCCTCCCATCCCATGTGTTTACAGCATTCTCCCCGTGTATTTACAGCATTCTCAGTCACACCAATACTTGTGCAGTATGTGATTTACCCATTGAATCATCACCCTAAAACCAAATTGCTTATACTTTTATACTGATACTGTGTAACTTCAGAATATGTGAGACATTCTATTCAAAGACAAGACAGGAGATTGAAAACATATTCGGGACTGTTTGGAATATGTAATGAACTTGTTACTGTAACTGCATTCATGATTTAAAGTAAAAGCATGGGTACATTAGCCTTCCTCTAGTTTAAGTTACCTGCTGTCAACCATTCTTTGAAAATAGTAAATGGAAAATTCCCAAACCATTCATGAATTTAAAGTGTATGTTATTCTGAGTAGTGTAATAAGCCACACATCACTCTATGAATCAATCTTTTATTCAAGAACTACATACCATTAGGTACTTAGCCATCCTAGCTACCAGAGGCACTGTGGTGGTTTCCTGGGACTTATGTTCAACTGATTACTGTCACAAGAGAAACGATGATAGCAATTCAGTTATGACAAAGAGAAGCTGTGAAATGCTTACTTTAAGTAAAAAGATAAAAGTTCTCTACTATGTCAAAGATGAGTATATATAGGAAAAACAGTATATAGAATATTCTGCACTAACCATGACATCAGGCATCTACAGGGAGTTTTGGAACATATCCACCTCTGCAACCAAAAAGAAGAGGGACTACATTAATCTAATGGAAAGAGCGGGCAGATTAGAAGACATTCCTAG